ATAGTAGATAAGAGAAACAAATTAAATGAGTTTTCATAGACAATTATATTTAATTGTTTTTGCTAAAACTTTAATTTTTAAAAATATATATATGAAAATGTAATAAACAATATTAATTATTGATATAAACATATTTAATAAATTTATATATATAATTTGACAATTTGCAAGTTATGTTAGGGTGTGCACCGTACACCTCCGCACCTTAGAGCAATCGTCACTGGGTTAGAAAATAATCAAAAATCGTTGTGGCCACCTTTTGCCTTCACTATGGCTTTCAAACATAAATGAGTTGTATGCTTCAAGAATGTGATCTTCCGCTATTTTGGGCCATTCCTGAATAATGGCTCTTTTCATAATGGCATATTTTTTTAGGTCTCACCTTGCTCTCCGAAATGGCTCAGATGGAATAGTTCATCGAAATTGCATCTTGCGTATTCAAAAGCCATTGTTTGGACGAAGTGAAGTGTGGAACATGATTTTTTAACCAAGTGTAATGGATTGTATGTTGATCAAGTTGTTAAATTTCGATGGAGTAGAAAATTAGAACCCATATAACTAGAACCCGTATATTCATTTATATCTTCTCTTAAAAAAATATACAACCTTGTTTATAGAATATAATTTGAATAAATTGTTCAGGCTTCAATAAATCATTTGCACTGCAGTTATTTTTTATGGGACAGAAGACATTTTGTCTACCTAACGAAAGATTTTTGTTGGTTAGTAAGTGTTTATAGATTGGATTTAACCAAACTTCTCCAGCCGCACAACAAAACCATACATCGAAAATAATATGACCAGAAGTTTCATGTTATTACAGATAAAGAAACCATTTTGTCACATTACAGAATCCTATCAAAAGGAACTATATAAACCCGGGTATTAAAGAATAACGCCCGACATAAAAGTAAAATTGGACGAAGCTTTAACTGAGGATAAGTTAGCAGCGATAACTTATTGTTAGTTCTAAGTTGATTTTTTTCAATAAAAAACAAAATAAAAAAATTACTGAATCCTGTTAGGATTGTAGTGCAAGCTTATGTGGAAAGATATAAAAAGTTCTTCTATCTCTTGAATTACCAAATTTTTAATTAATAAGGTAATACAATAATTTTTTCTTTCTCACTCTAAAAATTTATAATAAAAATCATAACATTTCATTTGGTTGTACTTAAAAAAATAAGCAAAAATTAATTGCCTCAAGTTTAAGATAATGAAAATCAAATTTTATACTTTAATGTGCTTGAGATTGAAGCTTCAGTTTTTCCTCCTCAAATAGACTACAAGTAAAAGAGTTTTGGAGACAAAATAACGGAAATGGTTTTTTTGGCAGTTACTAGTGAAGTACGAGTAGTTTGACATTAAAGTATATTTAATTTGCGGTATTACTTTTTTCTCATAATTTGTGCTGTTAACGAATTTGACATTGCAACTACTGTTGCGGATTATATTTCTGCTTTTGTACAGAAAATGGCTTAAATGGAAAGAGAAAGATAAAAAGTTAGTTGAAGTTGAAGTTGAAGTTATATCAGCCAAAACACTGAGGTCAATAAACTTTGCATTTTCTCATTGTGAGAAAAGAATACACAAGACAATAAGTATGTAAAAAGGCAAAGAAGCAGGTGAAATGAAAAAGGGTCATACCCGTAACACAATCAAAGAAAAAGTTTATACCTTGTCGTGCTGTCTTAATTAAGCACAAAGATATAAAGAAAAACTTGATTACAACGGAGTAAGATTTCTTCACCTCTTCCAAGCATCTACGCTAATAACCGCTCAGCACTTAGCAGAAATCTGAAGTATCTGGAAGCAAACAACAGCAGCAGCAGCAGCAGCTTAAGCGTTGCCAGAACTGCATGCATGAATTCATTCCTTCAGTTAAAATTCTATATTACAGCTATAAGTAATTAATTCATACATTCTTAAATACAAAAGTATCTTAAATACAAAAATATCTTAAATACAAAAGCAAATTTGAAAAATTGTTTAAGCTGAACACATCAACGATTATTTATCTCTAGGTTGCGTTACTCAAAATCTAATTGTGTTGTCTTAACCCGTAATTGAACAATTATTATTTAGTTGTATTGGAATTTGTTTTCATTTTGTTATTAATAATTTGTTGACTACCTCGACTTGCTCCCGCATTTTATTTCATTCAACTGTATTTTTCGCATGTATTGAATTTCATTGCTAATTGTAAAGTGATAGATACGTTCAAGGTTAGACTTGAAAGGCAATCAAAACATATCGAATAGAAATTGAAAATATTGTACATATTGTGCTTACCTTCAGTGCGTCACAAATGAATAATATTTAATATTTTTAAATGTTTGTGATATCCACAGAAAAGATGGACATTGCTAAATATATATTATCTAAATATATATTATCAAATTTGTATAAAATATCCATAGTTTATATGTATTATAAATGTTTTAAAAGTTTTTAAAGCAACTATAAAATCAAAAAATACATAAGGGACCTGAAGCCCTGAAGCTATTCGCAAAAACCGACAGGGTGCCCTACTTAGCACTATCTATTCTCAAAATAATCTCTAGCCATAACGGCCAGTGCCTATCTTAGATCAGTCATCGAACAATGACGAAGCTTTGGAGGAACTCATAAATTATTCAGTGAGAATGGTTTGACTCTGCAGAAACCCCCAGCTATTAAAGAGTAAAAGTGTCCAGATGTACTCACTCGGAAAAGACTCAACATGAACTAGAAAATTAGTGTATCAAAATTAATGAAAAAAAATACCGCCATTTATCTTTACCCTTAATAGAGGTACTTTCCCGGTAATGACAATTAACTGCGTTCCCATACCTCAATCAGTTAAAATAACCTATTTAGAAATTTACTTACATAGAAGATTAACATAGCGTTATATAATTTAAAAAAATTCAAATCAGACCCGAAGCAATTAAGTTGCACTAGCTATTAAATTTATATAGTGCACTAGAATATAAAGATCTAAATATAATGGAATATAACTCAATAGAAAAAAAAAATCTGAATATTTAAACGAATTGGTGCTGGATTTAACAAAATAAACAAAATATTTAAATTAAGCAAGTAAATAAAATAAAGTTAAGTACCATTTACTGTATCATTTACTTTTACTTATTATTTTTAGATTCTTAAACGGAAACCGAATCAATTTCAGCAAAATTAATCATTACCTAGTAATAAAAACTTAAATAATCTGCTAATAACGATATATGAAAATGAGTAATAAAAAATGCGAAACGATAACACTTCAAGCAAAATAATAATTACTGCTTGCCTTTTAAGCCATTAAATATCGATTTAACTACTAAAACTAATGAATTTTATTATACACGATAAAATTAATACAAATTATGAGAAAAAAACTGATTTTAACTGATCACTCCAAAGTTATATTATTCCGTAACAAATAACTTCACGCAAATAACGAAATTTCAAGTTAATAACTATTGATCAAAAGTAGTTCAACATCTCTTAACTTTTACGATCCAACTAAACAAAAACGAAAACCATTTCCATAGATGTTAAAGTACCCGCTTAAATGAATTTTCGTACCCATTGAATGTCTGTGGGTTAATGAGTAAATAACAAATAAATAGCAGACACTAAATTATCTACCAACAAAATTAGGGTAGTAAGATTTGCAGATGTCTTTTTCGCTGGGCAAAGCACAGTAAAATAAAATTATATATATATTGTATTTACTAACATAAAAGAAATACAATCACATACAAGGTACGTATAATACAAATTATACATATGCTACAATAGGACTCTTCTGGCCGTAGTACCGGTTACCACGTCAAAAATTTTAATAGTAATGAAATACAAATTATAGGTATAGATAAATATAACGAGAAGAAGGTCTTGAATTCTAGAATGTGCGCAGGAAATAGTTATTTAAATCATATACATATTTGAAATAAAAAGATATAGATAAATATAATGAAAATATGGTTTCTAAAAGCATTTAAGTAATAAAATATGCAAAAATCGAATTCATACTAATATTTTAAAAAAATAATTATTAATACTACACTAATATCTTTGTTATGCTAATAATTGAATCTACACATATATTTTATTTACCTATTAAATTACGGGAATTGGAATTGAAGACGGGTAGTTAGCATATCCATGCAAAAAATTATATAGTGCCTTTCGTGGTTAACCGTTTTAAACATTTTATTAATTGTTATAAGGACTCATTATATTATATTATATATGTTTTGTTATATTTTCTAAATATATGCACCAAAACCTCAACATTCATAAACCGGTATAACAATTGGCATTTACTATTATACTTAATATTTTAGTTATGATCCATGTTGAATCTTGATCAAACATCATTCAGAGCATTTTTATTTTTTAGATCTCTAACAAGAGGATGTATCATTGTCTCTTTTAATATCATTCAGAAATAGATTACGTGGAAGAGCTACCCGCGTCCTTGCAAGCAATTCATTTTCATATAGAATTTCGTAAAGCTTCCAGAATCAATATGTGATAATTCATCAGGGTGCTTAAAAAATTAAGTATCCTGTTCAGTTTTCAATAATTGTAACGCGACGCTCTGCTATAACTGAGCATCTGCAGATCTATCAGAGAGTTTAAAATACTTTCTCCTAATCTTGGCATACATCGCAAACATTGCAAGCATCGCAGACTCCTTGCATAGCTAGCATCGATTTTATTGCTCAATGTTTTTACATGAAAAGTTTTCTAACACTTTTTTCTACTCTTATAAATTAAAAAATTGTATTAATTCAAAAATGATTTCAGTTAATTTTTTTAAAAAAAACTTGAGCAAAAAAAATTTCTCCTTTCTTTTTATTTTATTTTAAAACACTTATTTATCTTAACAATAAATTTTGCAGTTACCGTATTTATAAATATTATTTATACACTTTTATATTTTATATAAATAAATAAAAACTCAAAACTTTCATAATTTAATAGTTTGTCGTTTGATCTCTTTACAGTTTATGGCAGTAGTGCTGATTTAAATGTTAATGTGGATGATGGCGAAGCTTCTGTTTATAATGGTGATGAAAATCATAAAGTATGGAATGGATCCCAAGATCAACTTGACGGTATTGCAATGGAAAGTCCCTACGAAATATTTTCTGGAAACACATCTACACTGGGTCGACCAGCTAGAGCTCGTCAAATAAGTGTACCAATCGATGTGCCTCCACCGCCAATGAAGGAAGAGAGCAACAAAAAGAAAAGAGATAAGCGTTTAAACAAATCTTCGGGAAGTCAAAGTTTATCCGGTACTCTTATACGACCAAAGCCAATACATCCAGGTACAATGCAGCGACCCGGTATGCCAATAGCCCCATCGAGCTTAATGTATGGTCCAGTAGCTGGACCACCACCAACACACAGTACACGTCATTATCACACAATTAGTCATCGTGGTTTCCCGCCTGGTCCACAAACACCACACCATCACCCTGGTATGCCTCAAATAGCACCTCATCCACAAATGATGCATCCACCACATGTAGGGATACCAATGCAAGTACCCGTTATGATACCACAACAATATGCTACGCTACAATCTGCACGCTCTACAAAGAAGAAGAAAAAAGATAAAAAGAATGGGGGTATGCCAGTTGGTATGCCTATTATACCGCCTATTTATACATATCATCAGGCACAAGCTATAGCTCCAATTCCACCACAACCTTCAATGACACAATCACTAATTGGTGAACCAAGGCCAATTGGAATGTCAAATCGTAAATTGGCGGCATCTATGGGTAATGGGTTAGATGATTCTGGTAATTCTGGAGCTGAATCACCTGGTGGCACTGGCATCTATAGGCGTAAAGGTCATTTAAATGAGCGTGCCTTTAGCTATTCCATACGTCAAGAGCATCGTAGTCGCAGCCATGGATCCCTTGCTAGTCTACAATTCAATCCTCCCGATATGAAAAAAGAACGTGAAATAGCACAAATGGTAGCTGGGTTGGATTTAAATGAGGGTGATGATCGCTCATTATCAACAATGCAACGAAAACAGGCAGCAACAAACGGGAGTTCGCAACATCATCATCATGCAATTTACGGTAATGGTGGTACAGCTATTTACGGCAATGGCATTGGACCTTCAAACAGTTTTGGGAAACCAAGAAGATAAAGTGCAAGACATTTATACAAATCATATAACCTCCGTAATAGGAAAATTCCAATATTATAACTGTTTAAACCGACACACACACCAACTACCAGCGAGTTTAGTGCCGTGGATTGAAGTGTCGAGTTGCCATTAGATAGTTTTTATGACGCAATGTTAAATAGCAACACAACAAAAGAATAAACGAATATATTCACAGATATATATATAGTATATATGGAAGATTAACACTTATTGTTAAAATTGTTAATAACTAACATTATTCTTTTAAAGAACTTACAAATCTTTTCACAAATGTTAATATCAAAAAGAAATATTAAAAACCAAACTTAAATATTATAAAAAGTTTTGGATATTATAGGTTAGGAAATTATAGCGATGCTGGTCAATCGAATTGCTAATCAATTTAGTTAAATTAGAAAATTTGATCACAAAATTTTGTTTGGCTAATAAGAATGAAAAAAATAATCATAAAAAACTATAAATTAATGCAATGAAAAACACGTGCCTTATTAAGTTTATTTCTGAGTGTAAAATCAACGAAAAACATATGAACTTATCATATTCTAATTTAAATTTTTAATTTAGATACTTTTATAATAATGTGTATAAAATAAAATTTAAAAAAATATATAAAAAATATTTTTCAATAAATTTTTATTACTAACTTAAACAGCAATCGAACCAATTAATTTATTAGCGAAAAGAGAAGAATTTGCTAATAAAAAGAATAAATCTAATGAAAATGATGAAATTGTAGTAGAACACACTTGTTATGTTTTGAAGGTTTCAATCTACCGTATGTCCATATTAGCCTTAATATGTAAAATTATTATAGATTACAATACATGTAAAAAATTCAAATAAATATATATGTGTATATAAATATTTATATAAATTATTTTCTTAATATTTAAAAGGAATGGATTAAATTGATAAAATTGTACATTTTAAGATAGGTTAGGATATGTTGACAGGCCAAAAACGCCACGCGTAGACCATTAAGGTCCATTGCGATGCCAGATTATTATCTAATCAGGATGCACGTGTTATTAGTGAATTGTATTAAAAGTGCAACAACAACCTCAAGCATGTTCTCCAGTCCTGTACAACTGACAGCCACCAAGTATTTTTCTCGAATTCTCGAGAGATCCGTTCGGTTACACAATAGATGCTCAGAGTTTCCTTTGCATCCGGGTCGGTAAATTTCCTTAAGGCATCGCTGCGAATTTAGTTTAGTATGTGATGGAGCGTGTGATGCGATCAACAGTAACCTGTCAATACACCATTTAATGTTCTACAGTTCTTTCGGCAAAATGATATAACATCTTCAGTGTACTTTTCGTCGTATATATGTCTACACATGATCCTAGCTATTCTACAGGTGGTTAAATTTTGCCACGTTTGCTCTACTCATATTTTAAGATAAATATCAATTTTCTATTGCATTAACATTTGCATTAGTTTTCACTGCTGCTTCAAATATTATTGGAGCTGCTTGTACTAAATCATTTGGCTCTAGCACAACGAATCGCTCAAATATACTTGAAGACCATACGGTGCTCCAGCATTTGCTGTTACACGTGTTCGCATAACACAAATTAAGAATTAATTGAAGCATATGTAGACTTACTCGTCGAGAAGATCTAATATCTTCGAGTAGCTTTCAAATCTCTAAACATTTGAAGTTTCTGATTCAAATGTTCGAATTTGTGTCTATCCGAATTCCTCGAGCAGTTCAATGCTTGAACATTTTGAAGCACTAATTTTCATTCATACCTATATAATCCTTGTGCCTATGTATTTACTAAATAAGACTTACTTATTCACTTGATTGATAATAATAAGTTGTTATATCGTTATTGAGTTTCCAACTGAAGCAGTACTGCACTCCAGATGCCTCTGCTGTGTGCACGCTTCTACAGTCTTTTACATTAAGCAAACTTTGTTCTCCTCAAACTTGATCATAACACCGGAGACACGGTCTTCCTGCCTTCTTCCTCTTATTGCAGTACTAAATTAGAAAAAAAGTTATAGACGCATGAAAAATATCCTGATCAGTTTTATTCATTTTTAATAATTCATTAATTAATAACAAAATGTAAGTAAAGTTGATATTGAAATCAGGCAAGAATCATTGTTTGCATTTATTGTTATGTTGGAAATATATTCTGTAAAAAATTTCTCAGCATTACGTTCCTAGATTAGGTTCTATACATAAGAAAGCACAAATCATGCAACAAATAATGCCTCTACGAATAGAATAGTTTTGAAATTTAACAATTAAAAATAAAAAATATAATTAATTAATTAATTCAATTATTCTACAGCTGGTTTATGATTTCGTTCTAATAATATAAATAACAGCAAGTTAAAATTGTTAATAAAAACTTTCATAGCAAAAGTAACAAAACTCCAGCAAAAATATGCGAACATAAAAAGTCAAGTACGGCTTTGGATCAGTTGGTTAAGGTGCGCTGTTTCTGAGCTTCATATTTGACAGGACCCGAGTTCGATTCCTGGTACTTGGAGTTTCAAAAATAATTATTTACGAATAATTAAATATAAGAATTATTTCCAAGACCACTGATGTAGGGTATTTGGCAATACTCGAAACAGCTGTATGGTCAGCCAAAAATTCAATTAATTAAAATAATTTAAAAAATAAATTTTTGTTGTTGTTTGACTTCTGTTCGAAAACCTCTTTATGTAAAAAATTTTATAAAAAAGAAAATCACATTAAAATGGAATTAACTACTATGCCGAATCAAGAATACATTAACTTATGTACTACTACTAAAATCAAAATACTATATATAAGTTCGCTACATGGCCTGTAATCTAATAATTCTAAACAGACAATTGAAACCAATAAATATTTCCAAAAACTACTGATGATCAAACAGCTGTATGCTTTAATTTAATTTATTTATTTATTTATTATTTAGTGCTTGAACTTTCTTTACCAGTGGTAAATCACATGATCTGGGAGGACATTATAGTCGTCAAAAATTTTCTTTGATAATTTGTTGATTTCTTCACTTATATGATAAAACACTAACACATAACACAGTCTTCTTGAAACTAAAAGCCATCCATAACATATTCACCTACATATGTAGAAAAAGAAAAGATTAAAATAAATTAAAAAATATACGACGGCTCTGTTCAAAGTACTATTAAACAACTACAATCCAATTTTGGATGCCAATGCATAAAAAGTATCAAACAGTTCATTTTTGTGAGTGCACCTGTAGCTGATGAAACACCTTAGTATCTTTTCTACCCCAAAAGTTTAAATTTTTTTATTAGCAAATCTATTAAAATAAAAATGAACCTCTGATGGTATAGTACTCTGAAACATATTTTTTTTTCTAACAATTTATGCTGGATATACATATTTTCCTTTGCCTAATAATTTGTTAAATATTAGTTAATACAAATATGGAGTGCCTTAAAAGATAGGGTTAGTCTGATTGGCATCAAAATGTCACACACAGATAGTCATGTCTTTACCGATATCAATTAGAAACATGGTTAATAGAGTTGCAGCTCTATTAACGGTGGCGTATCGACTCTGTGGTCGTTTTCAAAGTTGTTAATAGTGTTATATATGGTAGTTCTTTTCCCCAACACTATTATGAGATCATTTTGGTTTGCGTGTGGGTAGTACAGAGACTTTGGCTATTTGCTTTAAGGAAAATGTTAATTACCAGTTTTTTAATTGCCATTTAATTAAATAAGTACCCATTAAATAAAAATCCTGTATATGTTAAAATATTCTGCATACACACATTTCATTTAGTTTTTATTTTCAAATTTAAACAATCAAAAAAATTATGTTTTGTGAATTTTTTTCTTATTAATTGATAAGCACATTTATTTGATACCATAATATATCCTTATTACACTTATCAGTTCCATAAAATATTCCAACATATCTCACTAGAATGAGCTATATATCACAACCTCCTGCTTTTGAATGGCAATCCAATGACGTCACAGAACTGTTATTTCATTACGACATACTTATTGCTCTCCATAATGTTCTGGTACTGGCCCTGCTATAAGGATTTATGTGTTATACTTTTTAATCTGTTATTCTTTCTATTTTACTATTTTTAGCTTTGTTTTTACAATCCACTCTATTTTTGATCTCTTACTAGCTCTGTAATAGAGTTTTTGGTTCTGCTATTACTATTCTTAATCTTAGTAATATTCGTCACGTGCGTTTAAATGTCAAAAGCAATTGCAAAATTTAATTTGTAATTTAATAAATATTAAAAAATAAATAAAAAATATTTGTTTTCTTTTCTTTTTTAAATACGTTTACTTACCAACTTTGTAGCTTGTAGCTTTTTTTGACTTAAGTTAAATATTGAAAAAGTTCCATTGATTTCAACATGTAAAGTAAAACTGGAAATCAACAATTTTTAAATTATTGTTTTTTAAAATTATTTTTAGGAATTACATATGCATTAGTGGTTTGAAATAGTTGTTATTTGAAAATAGCAATTACTACTGCTATCAGGAAATAGCAGTTCCGTTTATTACTACTGCCTACTAACACGGTAATCCGGGTGTGCTTTTTTCTTGACGACCCCCGAAACTGGTGTGACTTCACTAAGGATCACTCAACACTATTAATTGCATAATCATTCATAATCTCATTGGATTTCTTCTTTTATATCTCAAGAGAGATCTTGAAAAAATCGTAAAACACTATTATATATGCAATAAATCGAAATTAAATAAATTCCAAGCAGAAATCGTACACTTCGAATGCAAGAGAGGAAGCTACAGCTATGACATCGAACATTGGGTGGATTAAAATATATTTCCAAATATGCGTTTTGACTTGATTTTTTAGTTTAAAATTTCATATAATTGAATTTTATTGTTAGTGTGTAAGGCAGCATACCATATATACAATATCTAGAGTTAAAAAATTCGCGAATTTAACATGTACTGTCGTTACCACTTTAAAACTGGACAAGCCGCGTTGATATTGCATAAAAGTGGTATTTCCATTGTCGCAACTCAAGTAGTGCAAATGTGTTGCTGGCAGCAACCTATCCAGTTATTCGCGCTGCCGGTCTGCGGAGATGTTCTCAGTGGAGCATTGCCAGTTTATAACGCATTTTCAGCTTAAACAGCATAATTCATGACCTCTTCGAAATCTGTTCCGAATTTAGCTGAAACCTGAAAATATTTTCTTTAATTTTGAAAACATTTAACTGAATTGCACAAATACATTGACCTAAAAACCAAAATAATTTACTTACTTACTTTTAAGCAATGAAATACGAGTAAAAAGGGGAATTTAGTTTGAAATTTAAACAGCCAAAAAATATTGACAATGCATTCATTGTCTGATTGAGGAATGATTTTTTTTTGAAGTGGATTGCAGGTAGTATTATGTGTGAACTGAAATTTAAAATGTTAATTAACATTGCTTAAAAAAAGTTTATAGCCGTCAATGTAGCAATCTTTTATGGCAAGTTTTAAATAAAGACTTATGAGTACATATAATATAAACTATTGCTCTTACCTATAAAATAAAATGATGGCACTTGGATCACATATTGTTCATTTCTTTCCAAAAATGTT